TATATAATATTTTAAAATATAATATTTTAAATTGTTTTGCATTATGTGGCTGTTTGTTGTTTTATGGGTTTTTCCCATTTGCCTTTTTAAATTTATATATCACTTAATTGATTTAAAATTGATTTCAATAGGTAACAAGGAAACTTCCCAAATTTGCTTTAGAAGTTAGTTATGATTTACAACATCTTCTTTCATGACTATACAGTCCAATATGCGAGGGGCAAGTTCTATGCTCACAACTTGCACAGACAAACGCATTGTCCAATGGATGTGTCTGTGCTGCAGTAACTTATCTATCAGTGCTCTACGTTTCAAATGCCTCCTTTCATTCCCCATCCAGTATCTTTTTTCACTGTTTACAAAACCTGCCTGGACACAGTCTTTCCATACTTTTTGGTCATTGGCTTTTCCTTCCCAGGTATCAACATCGATATCCATGACCTTCATATCTCTTTTGCATGCATCTTTAAAACACAGAAATGAACGCCTTTTTACCATTTTCTAGTTCAGCGTATAACAGATTCTTGGGGATTCTGGTATTATCCATCCTCCTGACGTGGCCTAGCCATCATAGTCTCCGCTGTCAAATTAACGTAAACATACTGTTATTTGTTACTCTGTCTTGCCAGCCGATGTTGAAGATAACGGAGGTGCAGACACTTAGTTTCTTAGTTTCATATGTTGTCCATGATTCCACTCAATACAAAGGACACTAACCACACACGCCATGTACACCTTGATCTTGACAGCAACACTAATATTTGTGTTCTCCAAACACGCAGAGACATCTGGCTAACGGTGGAAAAAGCTTTGTCGATCCATTTGTTTAGTTCACTATCCAGAGTGTTGTTAGTAGTAACTACTGATTCAAGATAAGTAAATTTACTAACAGTTTCAAGGGAAAAAATTGCCGACTATAAAATTTTGTTGTCCTATGTTTTCACGGTAAAATCTTTGTTTTCTTAACACTTATGGCGAGACCAAAATTTTCACAAGCACAGGAGAATTTATTAAGTAAAACTTGCAGACCACTTGGGTTATGGCTACTGAACATGCATCATCATCTGCATACAGAAATTCCTGAAGGAGGACTTTAAAGACTTTTGTCTTGCCTTGTAGTCTAGCCCGTGTTTCAAACAAACACTTAATAAGGTCAAAGGCCTTAGTGAGATCGATGAATGCCAGGTAAAGTTGCTGTTTCAGCTCAACACATTTTTCCTGCAACTGTCTGACAGAGAATATCATATCAATGGTCGATCTTCCAGAGCAAAAACTACATTGTGATTCTGGGTATACACTTTCCGCTAAGAGCAATAGACGTTGTAGGACCACCTTTGCAAATACTTTGCCACAGATGTTTAGCAAAGAAATACCTCGATAATTATCACAGCAACCACGATCTCCTTTATTCCTGTAAAGGGTGAATATGGATGCGTTCTTGAAATCTTGAGGAACTTTTCCAAGAGCTCACCAATGGCT